GCACGGGCATGTAAGTACAACTACTCAAAATTTTCATTTAAAGCTTTCGTGACTGCAGGGATTCATATTCTTGGTTCTTTCGGTAAAGTCACGTAGAAGGGAAACAATCCAAATATAAAACAATACAATTCTCACGACGTTTCGACTGCAACACAAGCAATCGCCATGAGGTGTGAAATCCACAGCAAGAAAATTAGAAAAAAAGTGGCGTTTTTTTCTTAACGTCAGCACCACGGACAGCGATTTGGCAATGTGTTCCTGATCAGGAACACATTGCCAGTGAACTCAAGCACGTACACCAAGCTCTTAAGGCTAATGGTTACTCCGACTACACAATCCGCAAAGCCATCACTCCAACCATGAAGAAGGACCCTCTTGAGCCATTCAAAAACATCACCTTACCCTACATTGCGGGGATCACAAAAAAGATCTCCAAAATCTTGAATAAACACAAGATCTAGGTCCGATTCAACACATTACATAAAATCCGTGATCTGGTTCCGTCTGTAAAAGATGTGATTCTGGACATACAGTACCCTGGCGTTTATAAACTGAGTTGCCTCTGTAGTAGTAGTTACATTGGAGAAACCAAATGACATGTCTCAGACCGCATCCGTGAGCACAAAGCAGACCTAAAACACGGTAGGACCAACACCTCGGCCGTGGCAGATCACTGTTATAATTCAGTGGGCTCACATGACATTGACTTCTCCAAGACAGAGGTTCTCTGCAAGCCATCTGGCTACCATGAGAGACTCGTTCATGAGGCTATCCACATATACAAACACAGAGACAATTTCAACCGAGAAGATGGATTCTGGCTTAGCAATCATTGGAAGGATTTGATAAACCATTTCGGGTCTTAATTAATCGTGTTCACGCTTACGGTGACTTTCAGACCGCATTCCATTCTCTTTCTCTCCCCCCTCCTCTTTTCCGAACATAGATGGGACTCTTCCATCTGACCAACTGCCAAATCGCTGTCCGTGGTGCTGGCGTTAAGAAAAAACCGCCACTTTTGTCAAATGTTCTTGCTGTGTTTTTCACACCTGATGATGATTGCTTGTGTTGCAGTCGAAACGTCGTGAGAATTTTATCGTTTTATATTTTTATTATTTTGTTTCCCTTCTACGTGACTTTACCGAAATAACCAAGAATACAACTACTCTGTTTCATCAAACCCTGTGTAGTTATTACCATTAAAACGATTTTACGATTGAGAACCAAAGGGGGGTGGGTGCAATGCTGCAGTAAAGGTTAAGAACCACTGCTGTAGCGTAACAATGAATGGAGACAGGCCAACTGTTATCTTGTGGTTCCCCGGTGGTGCCAGGTGAACTCATTGCCCAGCTCGGCACTGTCGGCCAACGTGGGAATGAGTAGCCAGGAGCACCGAGGGAGTTTCAGGAACGCCGCTGTTCACAGTACTCGCGAGCGAGGGAGGCATTCGTCGCAGCTGCCGCTCAAGTCAGATGCCCGCCGTGGTGTGTTGGTTACAGCGCTGGAATTCGATTTCCATGGCGCTGCAGTTGAAAATAACAGTGCCAGTTTTTCTCTTCAAAAACTCCTCCGCCGCCTATGTCCACCCAGCAGTAGCTAGTGGGTTCACGACAGCGCGTCGGCTCGCTGCGTGCGGTGCGGGCTCAAGCGCGGGTACTCCCAACTCTTCCGAGACAGCTGGCCAACGTGGAAGAGTAGGCCAACGTACCCCTGTTAGAGGGGCTCTCTCTCTGGCGCTCCATTTTAGAGTGGAGGCCAGCTGTGGCGTGAGCAAGGAATTTGCAGGACTGCGCCTTTTCCCCCTTTTCTCCCTTCTTGCCATGACATGTCCCGTGTCCTTTTTTGTTTTTGTACCTCCATAGAGGCGACAGCAGCGTCGGCGGCGCCAGCAGCGTCGGGGGCGCCAGCAGCCCCACGCGGTAGTCACGGCCCGCCGCTCGTGTCCCCCCAGCTCGTCGCAAAATGCCTTTTCCAGCGCGGCCGCCCGCCCGCCCAGGGAGGGCACGGCAAGCGCCGGCTCAGCGGGCCCCCGGCCCCCGCCGCTTGGTGCCGTGCCGCAGCTGGTGTTGTGAATCAGGCTGATCCCATCCTGCTCCTCCGCCGCTTCACAGCACCGGCACGGCACGGCCGCCGCACCGCCACTGCGCACCGCACGGCACAGCGGCGGGCGGCAGGAGAAAGGCCCAGGATGTTCAGAACTTTTCTTGAGGCTGTAAAATCCTTCGCTGTTGCTCATCTTTTCTATCTCTCTCTCTGTCTCTCGCCTGTTGCATGTTTGCTTCGAACAGCTCCCCGGTTTGTTTTCGGGTCGTGCCACGTGTTGTCCGGCGTGAAGCTGTCCGGCGTTTCGCTCCGCGTGCTGGGGGTGTCTGCAGAAACTCAAGTTTCGTTCCACGCGCTGAACAAAAGGATTTCGGAGGTTGTTCGGTGAGATCCACTTCCATGGACCCTTCGCTAATGCCAGGAGTTGTTACTGCACTGATAGATATTCGATCTCTTGGGATGGGAAAATGTGTTGATGATGTGATATCAAACTGCTGCTCTCTCTGACGTGTAACAAGTTAACTTCTTTAACGAAACTATTTTTTTGCTGCTATTTTTGTAAAGTGCATGAACCTTGACAGCGCGGTTCACAAAACGTGAATGTAACGGAATCGTATCTGGTGATAAGAGGTCTTCATCCGATCGCCTTTATTGAGCCAGCGTTCACATTTTTCAACGAACAAGCAGGTCGCCATACACATCGCGAGACACGAAGGAAATTCGCACTTTAAACGAGAAGCGTTGGCGCCAACGAATAGTTTGAATTCACACACGAGCTCCCCCGGCACTACTTGCGCGGCGGACATCGCAAGCCGTATCGAGTGCGATGGAAATTGCGTGGAGACCCACGGTCTGGAGGGGGCAGGCAAAGGGCTATAAACTGGGGGGAGGGGGGGCAGAATTCGACAGAGAAAGGGTAGGGGGAGTGGGTAGATGGGGGGGGGGGCAATTTTATTTCTTGTACCAAGAGCCATGCCAACCGCGCTATCGCTGTGCTTTTTGTGCTCCGTGTACAAAATTTTTGTTTCTCCAGCGATAAAAAAAACCACTTGGGATTAAGGCACAGAATTGCGCACACCCGTGCCGTCCAGGTGCTCAAATAGTCGTACGTACGTTTAGCAGCAGGTGTGAAATAACTGAACCGAGTAGGGTTCAAATAAGATAAGCACAACCGGGGCGGGGAGGGGAGGGGAGGGGGGGGTAGAGGGAACGAGGCTGCTTGTCGAGTGAGCGTGACCGCATCCTTCAGTCACGCTTCTGTCTCGCGGCGCCCAGCAACCGACACGCGGTCAGGCCACGACGACATCCCCGCGATGGTTTGCCGACACGCGGTCCGGATTAGACCGCCGCGTGCTGTCCAGCGCGAATGTCCAACGTTTCGCTCCACGTGCGACGTGGAGAGAAATGTGGGACATCGTGCTGGACAGAGCGAGCGATAACAACGCGGGCAGCGCGCACACAGCTCGTCCGGAGACACCGACGCAGCGGCGTGGCCACGGTCGTTCCGTTATGTTTGTATGTTGAACTTCTTTTGCACCGTACGTAGCCAACCGTGCTAATCGGAGGTGCAGGGGAAACGGCTGACACCACCAACAAGTGGTGCACTGCTTCTCTGCCGAGCGATGATTGTCCGTTTTGCTGATTTACGCGAAACTGAAAACTTTAGAAAATGTTCAAAACAACATTAAGATGACGTTGATGGCGTGTTATTGTGCCGAGTAAACGGGCTCGACGATTCCACAGAGACATGAGGTTCGTCCTCATTCAGATAATTATTATATTATATTATTATTTTATTATTGTATTACTTCTATTTTAATTTTATTATTTGATTATTTTATTATTCCCCTTCTACGTGACTTTACCGAAAGAACCAAGAAGATGAATCCCTGCAGTCACGAAAGCTTTACATCGAAATTCAGGACGGTCTCGTTTGCAAGACTGACCTGGGGCATTCGTTTTTCAGGAGGGGGACATGAATGCCGTGCGCAGACCCCCAAGCGAGTGTTTCCCGGTAGATCTACGGTTGTTACACCCACAGTAATAACCAGGGAGGCCACTGGATTTAAACCGCCACCGCCCGTTTACCTTGGCAGAGGATGAAAGGGTTTCCTCCTGCTCATTTCACGTCACACATCTCTCTCCCCAACCCTTCGGGAAGTCCTTCCCACTCATCAGGACCTCAATAACGGCCCTCGTCATCGCTTGATGTCACGCCAAGCCCTTTTAGACCCATTCGCTTACCCTGAGACCAGGGGTGGGGAACCTTGTTTCTGCCAAGGGCCATTTGGATATTTATAACATCATTCGCGGGCCATACAAAATTATCAACTTAAAAATTAGCCCGTTATATTTGGTCAAACATTTAATTAACTCACCCCTAATGCGATGGCTGGAACTGCTTCTCTTTGGCGAGGCGTGTGATGTTAGCTGGTATTGATGATGATGATGTTGCTACTCGCAACTGCTTTTCCAGTTTTGCTCCTAGATTGATTGAATTTCGAGTCCCGCCTGCGGTTGCTTTGACAGGGCCAGACCAAATGATTTTGCGGGCCTTACACGGCCCGCGGGCCGGACGTTCCCCTCCCCTGCCTTAGACAATGCGAATTCAACTTTGATGAAGCTTGGAAAGTTGAATGGAGCTCAAAAGAACAAAAAACACCACCTTGTAAAAGACCCAACGCAAGTCCCTAGGTTTTATATTCCACGAAGCTCAAGGTCCACCCTAAACCATGGCAGATGCGGATACCTTTTCCACGAATGGAAAATAAAAAATGCTCCAGTGTGCGACTGTGGTCATGGAAAACAGACCATATACAACATATATAACGACGCAATGGCCAAAGCCACAAATACGAGACATCACGGCGATGCACTCCGCTTGCTCCTGACCCGGTTTGTGAAACTGTAAGCTGTTGGCTCTGCATCGACATCATCAGCCAGACGAATGGAGAGAAGAATATTTCACGGAGGTTTTTATTTCGTGCGTACTTGGCCTCGATTTACCCAGGGCACTCTTGCAAATGAGACCGTTATAAAGGTCTCTTGCGTTCTCAACAGGACGAACAACTGTTATTTTTCCACGATTCCACATCTGCTCACGCAGCCGATGTATATGTGTGTGTGTGGTGGAACACTGGGGAAGCGGTAGTGTAGTGGTTAACGCACTGCGCTGAGAACCCAGCAGCCCGAGTTCGATTCTCGCTCACGGCCAATACCAGTGACGATTATCTGAATCGGCCCTAAGCTTTTTCTAGGTCGACTCAGCCTGAAATGAGTACCTGTTGTGGTGTATAAACATCGCCACTGGGCAGACAAAGGCGGCCGTGCGTGGTGTTGGCCAATCGGCTCCTCGTATGCCGTGCCGGCCTTCACAGGTGCTCGCTAACAGCACTTGCTCCAACTGTCTGTTAAGGCTATATGGGGGATCTTTGTCTTTGGTGGCACGCTTGGCTTGTATTGCACGTGCGGGCACAACTTGAGGAAGCCGCCACCGCATCCATCACGTGACACATTGCACGGACAAGCTCGAGCCACTTGGAGGTGCCCTGTTGCGTTCCTAAAACAAAGACAAAGATCCCCCGTGTAGCCTTAACAGACTGTAGGGGCAACTGCTGTTAGCGAGCACCTATGAAGGCCAGAACGGTACACGAGGGGGTGGGTGGCTAGCACCACGCCCGACCGTCTTTGTCTCCCTAGTGGTAATGTTTACACACCGCACCAGGTACTCATTGGAGGCTGAGTTGACCTAGGGGAGGCCCAGGACCGGTTCAGATAATCGTCACTGGTGTTGGTCGTGAGCGGGAATCGAACCCGGGTCGCCAGGTTCATAGCGCAGGGCGCTAACCGCTACACCACCGCTCCCCACACACACACTCACCCCAAGCTTGAAAAATTGATATCAGCTTCCATTCCATTTACCGAGAACATGACCCCATTTACGGCTTCGCTTTACACTTCTTCAGTAATACATTATGGATACCACGATAACAAAAAACGTGAAAATGACAAAAACTAACTACGTAACACATGGCTTGATATTGGTACGTGTGCAATCTTCAATTGTGACTAATAGCGCGAGCTTGCAAAGTACTGCGTTGGCTAATACTGAACGAATATGGGAATCTCATTGTGCCCACCAGGCAACTGACGCTCACTGCCGTGAATGTTACTGTGCAATCCACCCGGACTGGGATTGATGCCGATATTCGTTGTTCACGATACGACACGAAATAGATTTTCACAAGATGACGATTATCATCATTCTTAACCGAAATTCTCGAGATGGCATTTCACGATTTTATAGGTTTTTTTTGCTGTGCTGCACTTACAGTCGAGATAAAGATTATCCCGACTTCCAGTCGGGATAAAGATTACTCAAACGTCAACTCACATTTCACTCAAAGCAAACCTGCCACAAGACTTATCCGACCGTTGCAACTATACATTTTAAAATGCTTGTAACGCAAATGCTGTCGGCTTGAACAGTTAATAAATAAACTCAGTTTAACACGTAGGCTTTCGCGACAAATATCATCTATAATAGAGGTTTGTTTTTTTGTTTAGATCGCGTAAATATAAATGTGTCGTTAAACCCAATGGATACCCATTAATCCCACCCTCCCTCACGTGGAGGGCTCACAAGTGATGTCATCACATCTCTCTCTCTATTTAAGGAACGAAACAGGAGGATTTCTCCACAAATCTGGCTGTTGCCTGATGAAGCTAGTTGTAATTACTGGCAGAACGTCATACTCAGTGTTAATGTTGTGGATTTGCTCTCCAACACGCCAGTGTGCTGTACTAGTAATGAATTGGCACGTTCTGTTTACGTGAAAAACCTTACTAATTGGCTGTGTCGGGTGGTGGCGGGTTTCATGACACATTTATATTTACGCGATCTAACCACGAAAAAAAACGATAACATTCATAAATAAACTACGAATGTTACTTTGTCATATTACCATCATGCCGTCAATTAGTCTGGGAAACGGTTACATCGACAATTTTTGTGCTTGTTATTTAAACCATTTTGGTCAGGAAATAAAGTGAAAAAATTATAACCGCGATACGATGATTTGGTTATCGAGGACCTTACACGTTGTACGGCAACATCGCAGAACGCAATATCGTGGCAACCCAATTGCACGCACAGTTGCGACAGCAGTGCAGCTGGGCGGTAGGCGTCTTACAACGTCCGTGTGACAGGTTTCCCTGAAATCACAGCGTCTGCAATGCCACCCAGGCAAGTACCAGCGCCTCGTGCTAGTTGGCAATCTGTAAGGGCTGCGCCCCGATTTTCCGAATGATCGACATTGCCAGCCAGCACTTGTTCTGCTGCGGCTGTGGTCAGTGTGTCCTCCCATGGTAGGTACACCGGGTTATTAGAGTTCCCCAGTGAAAGTTTCCCCCTGATGGTACAGAGGATCGCGAGCCCATTGGGAGGGAGGCTGCAGCCTCCTCAGCAGTGTGAGTGTGCGCGCGTGATCTGGAGTTGTCTGTTCAGCCGGTTTGTGACTGGAGTCAGATCCAAGCAGATGACTTCTGGGAGCACTGGTGAGGCCACGTCCGTGACGTTTACTACCGCGGACGTGCCAGTTTAACCTCGCCAATTTGTTCCGCCTGGGAAAGTGTTAAACGGCGTGCTCCTGCCTGCCCGCTTGCCTCGGTGTCGGGGTTGTCCCAATCAAAATTGTCCAAATTGGGAAAAATGGATTTGCAGAGATGGGCCAGCATCACGAACTTTCTCGGCTGAGATTGATTCTGCAGTCAATAGGTCACGTGCTAACCTCCGTGTACCTGTTAAACTCGGCAAGGGACGCTTTGGAAGGATCCACTTTGAAGAGCACACTCCCACTAAATGCTAAAGTAGTGAACGATTCGGGATTAAATGCGATCTATACCTTGGAAGGTGTTGTCTTAATACCACATTGCAACCGACAATAAATGCTTTGTCCACAGCTCCGGTGTGAACTCTCAGTGACCTTGAGTTCCGTGACGTCTGTCCTGTATTGTGCCCCATGGGAAGGCCTCTCGTCTCAGGTAATGCACGACCGAGTGAAAGACGGAGACAGAACACAAGGGAACTCGTCTTGTATGAAATACACGCGGGAAAAATGCGTGCTTCTTCTCTGATGCTGCTCCCGGCGTCTAGACTCTGGTCATCCACACAGCCGATAACATTCATCTTTTCACTTCCAGACTATTAAGATCGCTCTCTTCTCTGCCTGTGAGTGACCCAATTCCATCTGTCAAAATATCTAGCTCAACATTTAAATGAAGGAAAGCGCAGGGTTGCTGGGAAATATAAATTTCCCATGACCTAAAAATTCAGGTCTCACTTTTGTGCGAAGCGTTTTGACATCCGCTTATCACATTTAGGTAGTTGACACATTCGGTTTGTATTAATACAACCACGGTATTAAATTCCCGCTGTTATTAAAACAACGTACAAATATACACAATGCGTTTCATCGTTTTGCCACACTGAGTAACATCCTTCCCCTAGTTAATATAAAGTCATAAGTTGACATTATGTACGTCCGTGTACATAAATCAAGGAGTTGTCGACGGCTTTGAGAACAGAACATCAACGATAAACCCCTAACTTCATTGCACTTAGTAATAACCAAGCCAGACCTCGCCAAAAACCATCAGAAGTGTAGGAAATTTTAAATTATGAATGATGGCGATATACCAGCATGGACGTATGTAGTCTGTCTGAACAGGGTCTACTGTCCGAATCGTTAGCCTGCTGCATTAACATCATCGTACAGCAGCGCAAATATCGATGGGAGCGAGGTGCTTTCGGTCTTTGAACAGCAGCGGTGGTAAACCTACAGCCCACGACTTCATTTCATAATACAATTTCATATAGCGTAGTTCACGCAAAAACTGCATCTCACAACGCCCAAACCAAGGTCAACTCAAGTATAGGCCGGAGTAAACAAAACAAAAAAAAGTAAAAAATGGGACTTAAGTCGTGGCCCACGGCCACGTTGAGGCCTAACACTTCGAAACGAACAGCAAACGACGTTTACCAGTCGCTGCCATAATCTTCACCGCACTAATCAGGGACTCGAGGGTAATGTGCTGGGCTGAACAACAACACCGCGTCTAAGCTTTGCACGCTCAAGTCATGTTGCCTTTCAAGTAGTTATGAGCAGTCAATGCACAAGTCCTAGCATGACAAAAGTTTAGAGTCACCGAATGTTAACCCCGCTAAAGGCGAATGCCCCGTTTGGCCCTGGGGAAGGAAAAGGGTTCCACGTCCCTGGTTTAGAGAATACTTCTCGTGCCCTTGTCCACTCGCTCAGACGAGCAGTGCCAGTCCGGGGCCGTCGCAGTACGCATGGGTGGTTTTCCACTGGCTACTTGCCAAGCTGAGCCAGGACCAAACCGTCACGTGCTGCCCTCAAAAGACATCTGAATCTGGCTCGGGTGCCAAGCAGGGCCATGGGGGCGGTTTAGAATTTTTTGTCACGCGCATTGTTGTCTGCACGCGACTAGACTCGTCCATTGCACGCGACATCGACTGCACGGCACAGCTCGGTTCTGCAGTGGGGGAAAAAAAAAACTGGCGACTCCTGACCCGCGCCGGGCCGGGCTGTTTCGCCACGGCCCCAGCGCGGCTTGGTCGTTCGTCCCTCCCCGCCTACTCCCGACGGGGACATGGAGGGAGCGCTCCGAAGCAGAAGGCCGGCACTCATCCGCGCCACTGCCACGGGATGACGACCTCGCCATCCTGCGACACTGCGTAGTAGCGAGAGACGCACACGCGCATTCCCCGTAGCCCCGACAGATGGGGCGCCGTCGGTGGCGGCGGCAGCAGCAGCAAGCGGCGGCAGCACTCGGCCAGGGCGGCCGGGGGGAGGCCGGCCTCACCGCGCAATCGGTGGGCACCCAGCCGCTCCGCGCACTCCTTCACCAGTGCCAGTGCCTCGGCCTCCAGCCTGCGAGGAGCGCGGGCGGCAAGGGAGAGGCGGCGCCGCGGTTTGAGAGTCCTCGGTGCATCTGCTCGTCTCGAATATGATGCGGAATCATCTTAAGTCTGCGCCTTGATTCAGACAGGTTTTGTCTCGTCGTGTCGTCGTCCACTCGTAGTTATATATAATAACTAAAAACACTTGCTTGATTCATATTTTCGTCACTCATATCGTAAAAAAAAAATAACACCGGTGTGCGCCGGGGGTGATTAGGGCCCACTGAGCAGACGTGAGGTCATCGACTGCCCGGCGCGACCACGCACCTCTGCGTCGCGTTCATGCGCGCGCGCGCCTCCCTGGCGTTGCCCGCGATGAACATCTGCAGGGCGTCGGCCGAGCTCGTGACTGGGACCTCGAACACACCGGACTCCAGGAGCCGCAGGCTGCACTCCGAGCTGGGACACAGCGTGCACCCACGCCCTGCACGGTCAACCACAGCCAGATGCCCGTTCACTCGCTCGCGCCGCACAAAACAATTCCTGCATTAATAGGGTTTCCCCCCCCTTTTTTCTGGCAACAAAACTGACGCCTTTTGCAAGGAATCATGTTTACATTAACCACAATACTCGCAGTCAAATGCAAACAAAAAACAATACTCTGATCATTTATGCATTGTCCTTGAAACTGATTGGTCCACACCAGAGACAGCTTTCTTTAGAGCCTAGTCTCATATGGTGTTCGACCAGATGACGCCAAAAGGCGCACAGTTCAAAGACAACACACCATCAGAGTAATGAGAGCTCGGGGTGAGCAGCTACATCATGGGACCTCCTTTGCCAGTACCAAAATACACTAATAGGGTTTTCCCCCTATTAGTATATTTTGGTACTGGCAAAGGAGGTCCCATGAAATTCCTGCATTCTTCCGGGATATTTTTGTTTTCTCCCAGATTTTTTTTATCCCGATCGTGCTATCGGCGGTCATGTCACGAGACAAAGCAATTCTTCGGGTGACCTCTGACCTACGCGGTAGATGGTAGCACTTCCCGCTTGCTGTGCAAATGAGCGAGGTTTTTTTGCGTGACAACTCATAAATTTTGATTTAAAGCTTTCGTGACTGCAGGGATTCATATTCTTGGTTCTTTCGGTAAAGTCACGTAGAAGAAAAACAATAAAATAATAAAAATACAAAACAACACAATTTTCTGCTTGTGTTGCAATCGAAAAGTCGTGAGAATTTTCTTGTTTTATATTTTTCTTATTTATTGTTTCCCTTCGACGTGACTTTACCGAAAGAACCAAGAATATGTAACCAACTCATATTTGAATTCTCAGAGCTGGAAATTATCCAAACTAAGCACAGAACCAAATTTTACGTTATGTTTTTTTTTCAATCGTTGGCGACTGGGCTGAGATCATCAGCTCACTTTAATCGAACCCAGGACCGCAGCGGTGCGAGCTCAGCGCTCTGACCTCTTGAGCCACCCAGCCACCTCCAAATGAGCCCCACCGATGCTGTGGTGTAACAGTGAGCACACTTGATCTGCTTCTGTCTACGTTTAGCACACTCCAGTCACCTGTTGCCTTTAAAAGGCACTTGAAAGTCGTGGTGAAACCCAGAGGTCACCGGATCGATTTGGTCTCCTGCCATGACAGGTGCAACAATGGTGCAAGTTTCTTAAATCTCGCCGCTTTCGTTCAACGAGCTGTATAGATGGGTGTGCCACAGCCTGACCGGCCAGTGTTGAGGGATAGGCTCAAGTACCCTCTACGGCAGTGGTTCTCAATCGTAAAAAAAAATGTTAAATACACAGGGTTTGATGAAACAAAGTAGTTGTACTTACGTGTCCGAGCTTAATGTGCGTTTCAATGATTTACATTCTAAAAAAATCTGGCAACGTCTCACACCCCCAGAAAGGGCATATCGCACTCCCAGGGGGTGCGTGCAACCCAGGTTAAGAACCACTGCTCTACGGGGACTGTAAACTAATGCTGCTGGATTACACGGGTGTGGAAAGCCAAGAGGCCGCTGACAGCCTAAAACACATTTCTTGTTATTTATATGTGAAGACACAGAACGGAATCCCGCGCTATACCGTACTCTCCAGGTTATGAAAAAAAAAAACTCAAAGCAATAGTCCTTCACAGCACATAAATGCTTTCCAATTATGTGCTATGGAAAGGGGCCAATCCCTGTAACATCACCGATTACAAGTTATTTTCTTTAAAGGCAGCGTTATTGACTAATCTGTTGAATTGTTTTTGTAAAACGCGCTTGTGCACCACTGTCAGCGTAGCAGCATCACCAAATTAATTGGATCATAAGAAGCACCTTTTTCCTCCTTTATCTTCAAGCAAATGTTGGGGGTGCATCTGTTATGCCAGATCATGTGTCTATGAGGAGCGGTAGCACACCGCGCTACAAAGCCGGCGACCCGAGTTCCGACTCCCGCTCACGGCCAACACCAGTGAGACGATTATTTAAACTGGTCCGGAGCCTCCCCTAGATCTGCTCGGCCTTAAATCAGTACCTGGTGTGGTGTATAAAAACATCAGCGCTGGGGAGACGAAGGTGGCCGGTTGTGGTTGCTGGCCACCCACCCCCTCATGTGCCATGCCGGCCTTCATAGATGCAACTCTCTAACAGCGCTTGTACCCAATAGTCTGTTCGAGGCTATACAGGGGATCTGTGTCTTTGTGTGTGCGCGACTGGGTTCGTGTAACTTTATTTGACACCGAGCACAAGTTTGGGCTGGGTCCATAGGCGAAGTTTTGACTTCTATATTTAGGGGGTGGGGCAGGGGTTCGCTTTGTCCTTCACATTAGGAATCGTGGGTGCATATATAATTTTTTTTAATCTTAATTGTAAATTACTGAAAATACATTTATGAAGGTGTCCAGTGTGGGGGGGTGCGTTGCGCCCCACAACTCCGCCCATGGCTGCGTCTTACTTTCCGGTGCGTCTTACAACGCTGAGAATATGCGGCAAATGATTGAGGACCGGCTGTAGGCCACGAAGGCTGGGCACCGCCGCTCCGGCAACGCCGCGCCGGCAACGCCGCGCCGGCAACGCCGAGCCGGCAACGCCGCGCCGGCAACGCCGAGCCGGCAACGCCGCGCCGGCAACGCCGCGCCGACAACGCCGCGCCGACAACACCATGCCGCGCCGCAACTTCTTCTCTCCTCACCCCTCCAGGATGAGCCTCAGGTCACGCAGGCTGCCCGGCAGGAAGAGGGGCGGCCCGCGCAGCGCCGACTCCCGCATGAGGTTGAGGCGAGCTAGGGCCCGTTGCGCCGACAGGCCCGAGACGTGGGGGTCGCGCTGGGTGAGCGACGCGCCGCCCAGCATGCGGCGCGCGCGCTCCTCGGCGGCGCGCAGCTGGGCAAGCACCATGGACAGGCGTGGGCGCTCCTCCACTGCCTGGGACCGCGCACGAGACAAAGACCCCAAGGCCCACCACCCCGTCCATAGCCATGAGCAGACGGTGGGGGCAAGTGCCGTTCGCGAGCAGCTATGAAGGACGGCACGGTACACGAGGGATGGGGGGTTTCCCACACCATTCCCGGCCGCCTTTGTCTCCCGAGTGGCGATGTTTACACACCGCACCGGGTACTGAGTCGAGTGACGGGAGGCCCAGAACCGGTTCAGATAATCGTCACCGGTGGTGGCCGTGAGCGGGAATCGAACTCGGGTCGCCGGGGGCGTTCGTAACACAATGCGCTAACCGCTGCACTGCCGCTCCCCACAAAAGACAAAGATCCCCCCCCATCAACTCTTCACAAGTACAAAGACGCGTGCAGGCAGGTGCACGTGCACGCATCTCATTGTTTCACCTTGTTTTGGAAACTGGGCAGCTCTAAAGGGCGGAGCACTCCCGCGACACACGGAACGTGACACACCCAAGTTTCGGCGAGCGCTGGCCGCTGTGGGAAGGAAAGTCGTCTTGTCCTGGACACCGTTGTATCTTCGTGCGCAGCGGGGCAGAGTAGTTGCGTTGGATGGACGATGAAGGCGGTGCCGGTGAATTAAACTAAACCATTTAAATTTGACCAGCTAAGGCCCACTGAGCTATGCACATCTTTTTTCAGTGACCTGGTCACAAATGATAGCTCAACAAAAGTAACTTATTGTGTGGAAATGTATAGTAGCCAAATACTTTTTCTTCTTGGTTCTTTCGGTAAAGTCACGTAGAAGGGAAGTAATAAAATGATAATAAAATAATTCTCACGACGTTTCGGCCAAGTAGACAGAGTCTGAATGGCATGCTCCAAGCCTGGAGCGTGCCATTCAGACTCTGTCTACTTGACAGACCTGTTCTCCACCTGAAGACGGCTGCTTGCGTTGTGGCCGAAACGTCGTGAGAATTATTTTATTATTATTGTATTACTTCCCTTCTACGTGACTTTACCGAAAGAACCAAGAAGATGAATCCCTGCAGTCACGAAAGCTTTAAATCGAAATTTAGCCAAACACTCTTAAGCACACGTTGATTCTAAATGTGGAAGGAAAAACTGGAGGACCCGGAGAATAAGGCATGCGACCACGGGCAGAACGTGCAAACTCCAAATATAGAGGTATCGTCAAGGGTCGGGATAAAACCCCCGACCTCCTACTACATACCAGGCGAGGTAGTTAATAACTCGCCACCATAGATCAGTTGGGGCTGGCTGTGAGGTGGGCAGGAGACAGAAGCACAGCAATGTGGGGGAGCTGAGTGTCAACATCTCGCCTCTGTGGCGCCACTAAACGTGCCAGCAGCCCCCCCCCCATCCCCCGTACCTTTATCCAGTGGTGGTGCACGTCCGTGGTGCCCAACATGATGTGCCCCAGGGCGTTCACTCCCGACTGGTCGGTGAACAGCAGCGTCTGGCCTGGACGCAGCCAAACACGGCGGAGGAGAGGGTGGCAGAATGAATTTGCAGCAGGGATAACGCGCGGCATTAACCAGCAGAGAGCAGCCTTATTATTAAATATTGCATTACTGCTGACCTGTACAGGTGGCCTCACCCACTTTCTATTCGCGATAGCGTCACGCTTCACGGGATGTGAATTACGTGGTTTACTGATGAGATGTTTGGGATTTCATGAATGTAAAGGGCAGCCCTGCAACTGCTTGCTCACGCCACTGCTGGCAGAAGGGCCTCCACCAGAGGCACTTCTACAGAGCCCCTCTAGAGTGTATTGTTGTTACATCGTTCAAGCTGGCCAGACCATCTCGGAAGAGATGACAGTACCCACACTTTACCCCAATCATATTCATCTATTTCTTTGCTGATGATGCCAGAAACATTCAAAATTATGCTCTCGTGTAAAGGAGATCGTATTTTCATGTAATGTTCAAACTGTGTGGTTCTTGCGACGTCGACAGCAAACGGACGGACAGCACAGATGTGCACGGCGACACGTAGAGCAACGTGGAGAAGCCAAGCGGTCACATAAACACACACGTACTCTCTGGTTCTTTCGGTAAAGTCAAGTAGATAGAAAAAATAAGAAAAGAAAACACAACGTTTCGGTCGCAACACAAGCGGTCCTGATATTTTGATATTTTATTTTATTTTCCTCGTGATATTTTTATTATTTTTCTATCTATGTGGCTTTACCGAAAGACCCAAAAAAAAATTATACCTGATGACGATTGCTTGTGTTGCAATTGAAACGTCGTGATATTTTATTATTATTTATTTATCTACGTGGCTTTACCGAAAGACCCAAAGAATATGAATTCCTGCAGTCACGAAAGCTTTCAGTCATAATCAGACTATTACATAACATTGCTTCTGTTGAAAAACACAAGACTACCTTTTTGACCCAAGCCATAACAACCACCATTAATTGAATCCCGTAGAAAACCCAAAGAACAGACACTACATACCAGGGGGGGCGGGGGCGAGGGAAACGAAAGGTCGAAGAAAGACAACGGCACGTAGCAATCTTACACCCTCATACAATCATCTGTGTCGCCACGCTTGAGAATTACATTGTTCCAGCAGTGATTAGCCTCCATACACCCTGCCCAGGGCACAGTCCCAACATCAGCAATGGGGGTAAAACCAAAAAATATATAATACAATAAATGTAAAACAATAAAAGAAATATAATACAATAAATATGAAACAATAAAAAAATTCATACAAATATAAAACAATAAGATATTTGATACAATAAATAAAAAATAATAATAAATATAAGTGCCCAGGTACTTTGTGTTCGCTTATTTCCCCTTGAAATAAAAGCAACACATTATTTCCTGAAGCATAACGCAGCTGCTTCGTTCTGCATTGTCAGTAAAAATCGCGGAATGCTGCTGATAATAGGAATAGGAGCCACGGGTAACAGATTGTGATAATAGGAGTTTCCATGGAACTTACAGATTGTGATAATAGGAGTTTCCATGGAACTTACAGATTGTGATAATAGGAGTTTCCATGGAACTTACAGATTGTGATAATAGGAGTTTCCATGGAACTTACAGATTGTGATAATAGGAGTTTCCATGGAACTCACAAATTGTGATAATAGGAGTTTCCATGGAACTTACAGATTGTGATAATAGGAGTTTCCATGGAACGTACCGATTGTGATAATAAGAGTTTCCATGGAACTTACAGATTGTGATAATAGGAGTTTCCATGGACCTTACAGATTGTGATAATAGGAGTTTCCATGGAACTTACAGATGTGGATAATAGGAGTTTCCATGGAGCTTACAGATTGTGATAATTGGAGTTTCCATGGAACTTACAGATTGTGATAATAGGAGTTTCCATGGACCTTACAGATTGTGATAATAGGAGTTTCCATGGAACTTACAGATTGTGGTAATAGGAGTTTCCATGTACCTTACTGATTGTGATAATAGGATAATAGGGCAACGGATAGAGGAGTTGTCCTGTAACAGATTTTTTAAAATAGTTTTTGCACGCGATGATCAATAACACGTTTTCACCAGTGTATCCACACGCGCGCGTGCGCATGCGCTCCCGTACATGTGCGTGCGTACCCTTCAGTTGCTGTGCCAGCTGCGGGAACTGCTGTCCCATTCGGCTCAGGCTGTGCAGCTGGCTGTTCTTGTGTGCCACACCCCACTGCCTTTGCCACCTGCGTGCAAATAACGACGGCAAATAACGGGGAAGTGCCGTGCACGCGTGGGGCCGAGCCGTGCGCTACCGCATGCTGCGGCACGAAGCATACGTCGCACAGCAGAACACACCAAAAACAGCACACGCCACGCAAAGACAACGCAGAGCACACACAGCGCAACACCACAAGTTCACGCTTATTCTAGGTTATTCCACACACCGTGTGGTACAAAGACAAAGATCCCCTGTATAGCCTTAACAGACTTTTTGGGGCAAGTGCTGTTAGCGAGCACCTATGAAGTTTGGAACAGCAACATGAGGTGGTGGGTGGCCAGGACCACGCCCAGCCGCCTTTGTCTCCCTAGTGGTGAATTGGCACGTTCTGCTCACGTGACAACCCTTACTAATTGGCTGTGTTGGGTGGTGGTGGGTTTAACGACACATTTATATATTTACGCGATCTAACCAAAAAAATTATTAACTACACAGATGGTGGTCCCAATCAGCCAGCTGCCCGACTATTTTTGACGGGAGATCCATCATGCTGCATGAGCAGAGCGGCAACAACGAAACAACAAAAGACAAAAACATCAACAGTGCAGATAACGAGTACAGGGTCCTTCAGCTATATTGCACAACAAACAAACAATGGCATAAACCAATATCATACATCTGTTCCATACCTCAAGAGCAAACATCGATCGCAGACTAATAACAAATAGCGTATGGCAATATCGTAGTTTCAATCAAGTCTCCCTTGACAGGCGGCGCCGAGTTTCGATCAGCTCTTTACTGGTTATAAAGGCCATCTTTCTGTCCATCTGGGGTGGCCGGCCGAACCGCCCCCCCCCCCACCCCGACCATGCATCACTCCCGACCAGAACGCCCCCTCTGCGTGCAGCGATGAGCCGTGCCGAATCACCGTCCGAACGTGACGCGTGCCACGCGCTTCGACAGCAAGCCTTGACAAATATCTTTTTAAACGTGGAATTGGTTGGAAACTATTTTGAAAGCCAAGGTGAATCACGCCTCTGTTTGGCGGAACACATCGCGGTCGCAAACGGCGCGTGGGCGGAGAGCTTTGCCTGCGCAGTGACATTTGGCGCCGAGGCGTTGTGGGAGACCGCTGCCTCAACGTTCACGAAGCGGATAAATAAGCGCCGAGCTCATGTTGTGGAAAGTCTCAAGTTGCTTGGTTAGTAATCGCACACGCCGTTTGCTTTAATGCAATGTGTGCCCTGCGACTGGTCCTCACTGACCACGTATCCTTACTATGGAACAACCACCGGGTGTGCTTATTGACGTGTACCTACCGTGCGGAGCGTACTCACCGCGCATCCTCAATTAACGTATATTCTTTTAACGTCTCCCTACTAACCATGCGTCCTTGCCATGTATCCTTACGCAATGCATATCCTTCCCATGTATCCTTACTGATCTCGCGTCCTTACCAAATATCCTAACTGCACGCCCTTACCATGCATCCTCACTGACCACGTGTCCTCACTCACCGTATGTCCTGCAGCCCCATGCGCTGACACAGCTCCTGCTTGAGCCTCTGCACGGCCGTGCGGAGCGGCAGGCTCTTCTGCAGCCTCTCGGCCGCCGTGGGCCCGTGCCTCTGGAGCCACGCCCTGGTGAGAGGGCGGCACGCGGAGCCCCCCCGCACCCCGACGCGCGACTTCTCAACCATCAACATCACCACCCAACCCCCGCGGAGGGCAGCGATGAACCGCAAGGACGTCCGGCTCAACGCTCGAGCACGATTCATTCACTCATTCATTCGTTTTAAAATGTGCTTCGTACCGCGCGTCGTTCGGCACGATGTTCGAAGTTTCGCTCCATGTGCTCTGCTGCTTCATTCATTCTCACGCATTCTTTATCCAGTCCCTGCCCAAGACAACGTACTTTCCTTAACAGTCAATATGATGTCTAGAATTCGTGTTTTTTTTCCGATACGTACATTTATTTTCCCTCTCTCTCTCTCAAGTCTAATACCCAGCATGCATCTCTCCACGCTTCTTTGCTACATTTCAGCCTTTGTTCCATTCGCTCGCTCAGAGTGTCAACGTGTCCGATCCGATCACGCGCAATCAGACGTACCCGATTATTACACAAACGATGACAAGCATGCATCGTGATGGTAGGAATTTCAATTAATGACATTTGGGCGGCGAGAGTGGCTCAGTAGATACACTCGTGCCTCACAGCTTTAAGGACCCGGGTTTATTTCCCAACTCGGGTGCCTTTCTGCGTGCAGTTTGTAATGTTCTCCCCCTGTTCTGCATTTGTTATCTCTGGCTACTGCAGCTTCCTCCGATAAAAAAAAAACCCCATAGTGCAACGGTATTGGTCAAACATCCCAAAGCTGAAAAATTACTCTGCAAATTACTAAACGGTTGCAGCATTGCCCCTGACTGCAAAGATTAGCAGGACCCTCCTGAAGGAGTTGAGATTCGATGAGCCTCTCCTGGGTAAACGACGCGTAGTAATAGTAGCGATAAAACACGTAATGCTCCTCAGACAGGTCACCTAGCTCCACGTGCTGCCGAACACAGATTGACGGCTCGAGACGTCAATGCAAAATCGTTACCCAAGCGTTGGCTCAGCCACCTTGGCCTTCCGCATCTCCTCGTCGGGGTCCTTCTGTCCCGTGAAGGTGTAGAACGTCTTGTCCCACTTGATCGGCCTAGCACGCGGGGCGCGCACGACACCGCCACGTCACCAACGCGCGAACGGACCACGCGCAGCCGAGTGGGCCACGTGCGATACTACGCGACGCGACGCCACTGGGATTCATGCAGCGCCTAGCCCAGGGCTCGGCAACCTGCAGCTCCGGAGCCGCATGCGACTCTTTACAGACAGCCTCGTGACGTTATGTGTGTGTCTACGTATTGATGTGCATTGCGGCTCTTGAAGCATTGAGGGTGGGTTTTTTTTACTCTGCCTATTATTTTCGTTGCCGGCGACTGGCCTAGCCGATGCATTGTTTTTCGATTCGTGCATTTTGTCTGTGATCGTTAAATACCTGGGTTTGTGAGTTGTGCAATTTTCCTTAGTGAGAATTATATTATTTTATTTTATTATGTTTTATTTTTATCATTTTATTACTTCCCTTCTACGTGACTTTACCGAAAGAACCAAGAAGATGAATCCCTGCAGTCACGAAAGCTTTAAATCGAAATTTGATCCTGTATTTGTTCTCAGCAATATTGATGTGTTTAATTTTTGTTTTGTTTGTTGCTGCTGCTCTGCTCACACACCGTGGATCTCGCTTGTAAAATATGCTGACTAATGACTAAACGGGATCATCCGCGTAACAAATTAAATAAACTCGACACTGAAATGAACATTAACACGGGGAATGAGCCCAATCTTCTCAGATATCAGAAGCTAATCTCTGATATCAGAAGACCTCATCAGATATCTGAAGAATCTTGGGATTCGGTGAGGAAACGAGCATAATAATTTAAAATAAAGCTACGCAGGGCTGAGACTGGACAGTGCTCGGATGGATAGCTGTTATGGCTGGCGGAGAAACATTGGAGGGAGCAGAGGGGATTACAGAAAAACATTGATGTTGTACTGCACCACTATGCTCTCATGTCTATGACCAGTGTGGTGAAGTACGATAAAAAAAAATACTCCATGATCGCACGGCAGTGGGAAGGCACTCATCCAGCAGTAGATTAACAAAGAGTTATTGATGATGTCATTCGCAAGAGTAGGCCACCGTATGCCGGCGTCAGGGTCCAAATTTTCCACGTTCGGAAGTTACACCCCAACATTACTCAATTGGGATCGTAAATGGCGATCATCGCCCCCTACTGGCAGACTAACGGCCTCAGGTCACTCGTGCAAATGAAACTCATTGTGGTCTCTGGAATTCTCGCCTCGTTAAACGAGATAAAGTAATAAAATGACCGTGAGCATTGCGTCTAAATGTGGCAGCGTCTTGAGATGCTGTACAGAAGCAGTAGGCTTTGTGTGGAGAACGAGGCAGTCAGTGGTAGACAGAGAGGAGAAACGGAACGTCTTGAGCCTCAACCGGAATAGGCGCAGCGGGGTTAACAGCATGGATGAATAACATAGCAGTGTTAAGAGTATTGCTCTGTGAATGGTACCGTATAGTCAAATTAACAGCATAGTTGTGTTAATGTTATCGCTGGCTAAAGAGTAGAGCTGGTGGGAATAGCGTCACCACGCGATTAGTACGTGGCACGATTGGTACAGCTGGTCCAATTACAAGGACGACTCTACTTACGAAGATTGACTTACAAACTTTCAGAGATACGAATAAACCTGTCCGTATGTCCAGTTGCCTCTTCGGACCAAGAGTTGTAAGTTCAACCGCCGCGCAATGGATGGCGGTGGTTGTTCGGTGTCAACCACTGGCTTGTTTCGAGTCTCAGGACCCAAACACTAAAAGGGTTACTAAGGTGTCGGCAGCTGTTGCCCGTTAACAAGTTGAATTATGAAGATAAAAAGAGAGCAACTGTGCAGGCATTTCTTGGTACGTTTTTCAAGCGAGTATAGAGGAAACACGAGCACCAAAGGGAATTAGCATCTACATCTGCAGAACATAAAGAACCAGTGGCATCTAAATCTACAGAACATGAAGAATCAGTGGCATCTACGTCTGCAAAACATGAAGAATCAGTGGCATCTACATCTGCAGAACGTGAAGAATCAGTGGCATCTACATCTGCAGAACATGAAAAATCAGTGGCATCTACATCTGCAGAACATGAAGAATCAGTGGCATCTACATCTGCAGAACATGAAGAATCAGTGGCATCTACAACGACAGGAGATTATACAACTTTTAAAGCCATTCCCCGTGTTTCGTGTAGATGCCGTACAACATGTTTGGAATCGACAGGAGTAAAGTTGGACTTATGGACAAATCGACTTACGAACAGACCTCTGGAACCTAACTCGTTTGTAAGTAGAGGAGTGCCTGTATTATAGCTGTGTTAAAGTATAGCTGTATAAGTAGTATAGCTTCGTGGCCGTGTGAATTATACAGCCGTGAGAATTATACATAGTATGAATGGTATAATGATGTTGCACCTATTATGTGCCTTGCAGCTGAGTGAATTATATACAGTAGCTGTACACATAGAATAGCTGTATGAAAAATATAGCTGCATGAGTCATCCTCCCGAGGAGGTCCTTATAACCGACCACTTGCTTTTTGCATTTATTGAACAAAAAATACCCCATCCATCGTCAAGAGGCTTTAGCCCCATATGTTGTATTCTCAGAAATATTGACTATTTATGAAGATGCAATGCCGAGATTAGCAAATTATCAAGAGTTCTACTGTACTCCGATATTTATTTGTACGGCGTAAGATTGGCAATAAACGCACTGCCAGTTTTCATAAAATATCGTGATGTCGTGATTTAGTGCTCATGTGTATTTTATTCCCTGACATGATATTTATTAAATAACAAAAATACATTAATTAAACGTCTAAATAATGGGGTTATTACCAATCATATCTGTGCTTTACAATACGTTTTAAGGAATTGACGGCTTGGCGGTTATACGATTGTCATCATTTTTCGTAGCGCTTTCAATTTGTTGAGTTTTGTTTAACTAACAGCATGTGCTTTATTATAAGCATCATACATTGATAGAAAGTTGCAGTGATGAGAAACCTTGTGGCAGGCTTGATTTGAGTGAACTGCAATTGGAGAACTTGGAACTAAATGTTCTATTCTTATTGGAAGTCCAGCAAAACACAAAAACAATACGGTAATGCAAAATACAACTAGAAAGTTATGCAAAACTGATATCACAAACACATTCCTGCGGAGGGAGCTGGTAGGAACGTTGGGTTGCTCGGTCAATGGCCAGGGTCAACGGCGGCGTGGTGTATTCCGCAAATATGGCCGACTGTGAGGGCGGGCACAAGCCGGTGTGAGTAGGTTAAACGTTGAGTTTTATAAGGGCACCACGGGGTGACCAGCCCCTCCCCACCCAGCCCCACCCCTCTCCCAGCCCCACCCTCCCCACCCAGCTTCTCCCCACCCTCCCCACCCAGCCCCTCCCCTCCACACCCAGCCCCACCCTCCCCACCCAACCCCTCCGCACCCTCCCCTACCCACCCAGCCCCTCCCTGCACGACGGACGGACGGACACAATAATAATCCCCTGTGGGTCCCTACCAGTATAATCGTCATGTCGTGACATGTAATATAGTCGTGTGACAAATACCATGGCAAACCAAGCAACGAGGTAATCCAATCCTTAGCATCACTGTCAGTATTGCTACCAATTATGCTTCAAAATTGAGTTTTGAAGTCCATAGGCACACGGCCGTTTTAATACGGGCAAAAAAAAACGCCTATTTGTTTGTGTTTCTCCCTTGTGATGGGACTTTGTAGGATAAACGTTGGGGTTTTTAAAGGGGGCACGGGGTGACCAATGAGGTCGGAATTGGTCTGTTATAAGGTAGGCACTGATAAGGGGTTGACAGGTATGGCTAACACAGTGAAGGGAAGAAATTTAATTTACAAACAGGCCCCCCCATCAAACTTCATCTGGCAACCACTGCTGTCAGTAAAACTGACCGCCCAGCTCTCACCTGTCGGGAGCGGGAGAGTGCCGCACATTGAGGCCGGCTAGGTGCTGCGTGGGCAGGCGGCATGAGCTCAAGATGTCTCGCACGGTGGCCACGAGGTCGCCCGAGAGAAGCGTGAAGCTCACCGGTGTGAAGCCTGCAGCACCACAGCAGAGATCGCCACAAACATCGCTATCCTCGTTGTTGAACATCTACACCAGCATCGTCAACATCTCGGTCATCTGTTAGCATCACCAGCAGTAACGGCATCATCAACATCATCCAGATCTTCTCCGGCATCATCAACACCATACTAATGTTCAATATCGAGGTAATCTTCATCATAACCAGTGGCGTCATCATCAACAACATTGCTAGCATGATAAATTACATTACTTGGACTATCACCGGTATCAGCATAATCATAATCTCCAGCGAAACGTTCCTCAAAATTGTAAAAAATGTGCTTGCTTGTCAACGTAACTCCTGGCAGAAGGGCCTCCACAGGGCACTTCGAGAGCCGCGCTCTACAACCGGTTTCTCTCGACGGCACTCACGTACGAGCTTGCTGGATCTCCACGACACACCGAGCCAAAAACTCACTGTGGGCCTGGATGGGTGGGTGGAAATGCGTTGTAGCTGACTGACAATTCACAATCCCTTGCTAATGCTTATTTTATTGAGCACTAAGAAATCATGTGGCGTCAAAATCCGTGAAAATAATGTTTCATTTTCAACGAGTGCCAAACTGCACATGCGTGACCGAGACAGTTGAGTGGAACGGGGGTGGGGGCTGACGGGGGTGGGGGCTGATAGGGGTGGGGGCTGACGGGGGTGGGGGCTGACGGGTGTGGGGGCTGACGGGGGTGGGGGCTGACGGGTGTGGGGGCTGACGGGTCTGCCGTACTGCACCATGACCAATGGAGAGGGGAGGGTGGGGAGGGTGGGGAGGGTGGGGAGCTTGGGGGGTGGGGGGTGGGATCGGCCACCGAACGACATGGCGAGTGCGTCTGTCCTCGCTTGTGAACAGCGAGGTTCTTTGTATGTATGTTGAACGTCTTTCGCACCGTACGCAGCCAACCGTGCTAATCGGAGGTAAGGCAAATGATGAATAGTTGATGAATAATGATCTACATCGTATTCTCGAATATACTCTTTTTAAATCCTTTATATTAAGTTCGCGTGCTTGCTTGCTTGCGTGCTTGCTTGCTTGCTTACGACCGTGCAAATCTTTTGGTCGTTTTTTAACCCACTTCCCGTGATCCAATCGAGCTGACATTTTGCACACAGACTTGTTGTGCGTGACAATTAATTTTCGTGAAACATTTTTTCCTAAATTTTACACTTTTTAGGACAAAAATATTATATTTAATGACCAATTGCTTCATGCTATCATGCAATCATCTGACCCATAGGTGGCAGCCATCTCAAGCCAGAGGACGAGAGGACTCTAGCCGCCACGCATATAAAGGATTTATAGTGAAAAACTTTGTTTTTACGGGTTAATTTTTTATGGTCGATCATTCTGAATCATTTAAAAGCGCTGCCAATCCCCCCCCCCCCAAATCCTGCCTCATGAAGACAACGAAACCCTTACAAGCCCCCCCCACCCACCCGGTCCGATGGTGCCAATGACATCACCAAGCCACGGCGATCAACTCCCGTCCAGCAGCACTTGTGGGAACAGAGGCGCGATTTTTCAATCCGACTTGCTGCCAAGTTGTATCGAGCCACCCTTACGTGAACATATGGATAACCTTCGTCTTCTCGGTGCGTGTGTTGTCATCTTTGCATTGGTCAGTCGGCTTTCGTGAAACTTTTGTGTTGTACATGAGTGTGATACCGAGTTTCGATCTGCAATACCGACTGGTATTCTGATTTAGATAATAGGCTTTATCTGGTTGTCTCAGAGTGGTTTTGGTGTCCATGCACTGTGTTGCTTAATTGCGAGTCTGTTTCCTGCTGCCAAATCTATTAACCAGACCTACCAACGGGACAGTGGTGGCTATGATGGAGCTGGTCACGAAGAAGGCAGTGACGCTGAAGTTGATGATGCTGAAGACCAGCATGATGTTAGCAAAGATGTCGCAGATGATGATGATACAAGCAGTGATGGCTGTGATGGTGCAGCGACTGCAGACGATGATGGCGCATACAATTGATGGTGCAAGCATTGATGTCAGAGTGATGGTACAGCACGGTGACATTGCCGGCATTGATAGCGGAGGCAGCGATGATGCAAGCGGTGGTGGTGCAGGCGGTGACGGCCGAGGCGCGTGTCCCTCACCGGCGCTGATGGCGGCAGGAGGCGCCTGCGTAGTGCGCACGTAGAACGTGACATGCAGCGGGTGTGGAGCGCGAGTGTCCGGCCTCTGCAGGCTCTCCAGGTACCCGTTGAGCCGCTTCAGGGAGCTCTCGTTCACCGCCTGCACAAGGCACCACGCGACGTGTCGTCAGTCAGCCTACAGAACCGGCTGCACCCACATCTATCTCGCTGCACAGGCAGCTCTTCGTGCGCTTCTGTGCCCCCAAGTTGATGCTTTACATTATGACATGTAAATGCTGTTGTAGTAGTAGGAATAATGCACAACCCTTGTCAATGTACTACGACTGCATGAAGGCCTCCCACACGCCATATCCATCATGGGAATTGTTTGAACATACTTCACAAAGCTGGTCAGTTCAGGGGAGGATTTGGCATGTTGGGAGGACCGGTTGAGATGTTCACGTGCCACTGATGTTCGACGTGGCTGTGAATCTAAATCAGCTTGCGATGTTCATAGCACAAAGGGCTAACCACTGCGCCACCGCTCCCCTGTGCCCAATACAATAAAATAAATTGACAGCATGTGCTCAAGTTCTTCAGATTTACGTGATGAATGTTATTCATATGAATCATTTACAACCCTCAGGAATTCCACAAATGCGTGAAGACCTCCACGTGCCAGTGTTGGTCGTAATAATAATTATAATTATATGGATATAGCACTTTTCATCAAGGATCTGAAAGCGCTGTAAAGGACACAGCAGCAGCAGACACTCAGTATGAAAATATTATAAATGTTTTTTTTTATCATTTAATAAGCGAAAGCATATAAATCAGTTTTAAAGCGCATTTTTTTAATATCTACAGACTCAGAAATCCTGATATCTCGTGGAAGAGCGTTCCATAGCCTGGGGGCTACACGGGAAAATTCTCGGTCACCCATAGACCGAAACCTCGACCTGGGACTACAGAGAAGATCTGCATCATGCCCAGATCTTAGGGACCTTGACAGGGACATATGGGTGCAGCATGTCAATGATGTAGGCTGGGGCAAGATGGTTCACTCCTTTGTAAGTGAACCATAGGATTTTAAACTGTATTCTATGTGAAACTGGAAGCCAGTGCAGGGAGGTCAAATCGGGTGTAATAATGTGTGAAGGTGTTCTAGTTTACACCGTCGCGACATTATTTATGAAGGACCACCGCATATCGTATTGACATGCACCTTCGACTCTTGAAATATCTAGGGTTTTTTTTGTTTACCAAATTCGGAAGAAAAAAAATGTCTCTTCTTGTTATTTTTGGTTGCTGCACCCCCGGTCATGGGACGTTAGTTTGTTCGCAACGCTGGTTGGCGCAGGTCGGTGTAGGGGGGACCGGTATAGATACCAGTCACCACTGACTTGTTCAGGTAACAATAAGCCACTGGTTCAGGCTGTCACCAAGAAAGGTCAACTGGGTTCACAGGGCACTGCAAAAACCACTGCACCCGCTGTTCGACTCCATAAATGCTGTTGCATTACGTTAAACGTTGACATGTTGCATTTTAATTTGCATTTTATTTGCCGCTATATTGCACCAATAGAAATAACTGTGGGAAAATAATTGTCTTAAATATTCAACATAACATCGTCGTGCTCAGATCAGCCTGTTGCCACCCCAGTTTTTACAACGGAGAAAAGCTAAGCCTTTCTCGCTATGAAGACATCTAAACGCTTCATAAACACAATAAAGTTTGGGAAATAAATCCCAAATATAGCATTGCATACAACAGTTCTATAATGGCCCGATTCATAATTCGTTCTTTTTGGGTTAGATCATCGTGTGGGTGTAATGAAAATGTTGAACTATCACCTGCGACCACCCGACAAAGCCAATCAATTGAAGTGTCACGTGGGCAGACATGCAAACTGATTTGCTTTACCAGCAAAAACTGGAATGTTGAAGACAAGCAACATTTTTCACATCAATAGTTAAAAACTGTCATTTTACCCTAAACGACCTAAACCAAGAGGAACAATTATGATGAATGATAATACTGGTCGTGATAGCCTACGTATGTATCGTTCTGGATGACCGCTGCAAAGTATGATCTTGAGTTTTGATGATAGTGTGCTGATCTTTAAAGGTGTATTGAAAATTTTTGATTCTGCTACTGATACTCCTGCTGTTATGGAGTGACTCATGCAGCCAGCTATGGCTGCAAAGTTTGGTCGTACATGTTATGTATATCGTTTATTGTAAAATTTGAATCACAGTTCCTATGATCACTGTTACATTGTTTTTATAACTTTATTTTTGTGTTTTTTAAAAGTTTTGGTTTAGCCATGTTTGTCTGTTGTAGTACAGAGTTGGCCTGATAACTTTCATCTACATCGTCTTATGGTTGTTATTGTTTGACTTGCAGCCCGCTGGGATTTTTTGCACACAGCGTTGAAATACGGTGTTCTTTCTGGAAGACTTTGCTGTTTTTTCCTGGATATTTCTGTTGCGTGTAGCCACTTTAAGATGTTTCTTGTTCATGTTTTTGTATTGTTGCGATTGCACCCGAGTCAAGAGCCGCATGGCTCACAGGGTTATACCTAATCAATTAAACTGAAATGAAACTGTATAACATTAACCAGTAGTGTCCTACGAGTTCAAGATGAACATCCGACGCGTAAAGATAAATGATCAAGGGGGAGCTCGCCCTCTCTCGCGGGTGCTGGCCAAAGAAGTCTGGATGCACGGCGAAGTAGAACGGACGCAGGGCGTTGGTGACGTCGGCAGCGGAGATGTTCGCGAGGCCTCGCCGTGCCACCAGCACCAGCCTGGGTACAGGACACCTGCCGGCAACATCACACCGGACGAACGATGCAGCATCCACACAACTGACCATTCCACGCGATACATCGGTTGAACGTTCAACCGGCCACGCCAATGGTTTCCCAACCTGCTTAAGGCCGTGGGAAGTGGTCGGACCTGTTCGCGAAGGTTTTATAGATACTTCGGTATCTTTTGACAAAACACAACATTTTGTACTGGCAATTGCACCGCTGTTTACATTGTATAGTTTTCGAAAGCAATTCAGTTGCATGGCCCTTTAGTTGACATTTTACAGTGTTCTGGAGTTGTTTTAATTTAGAAAAATGTTCTTGGTGCATGATGAGTGCTGACTGTTGTCCACGGATCCAGAAAGATTGGAATGTACCGATCTACACGATATTCAGTCATCACAATCGACCAGCATTGTAGTGCACCAACACGACCCAGCATCGGCAATGCTCCACCATCCATACACTTCACCCACATTGATCCACGCCATGCAAGTTTTACCACCTACATGTTCCACAATCCACACAATCCACCACCACACATTCAATTCCATGTAGCCCCAAGCTAATATTTAGGAAACTCATACAAAAACGGCATTTTTAAGAATCAGAACTTTTTCACTTCTACAGACTTACATGTACAGTCCACCAGCCCACAGGGGATTATTGTGTCCGTCAGTCGTGCAGGGAGGGGCTGGGTGGGGAGGGTGGGGAGGGGCTGGGTGGGGAGGGGCTGGGTGGGGAGTGGGAGGGGTGGGGCTGGGTGGGGAGGGGCTGGGTGGGGAGGGTGGGGCTGGGTGGGGAGGGAGGGGCTGGGTGGGAGGTGGGAGGGGTGGGGCTGGGTGGGGAGGGGCTGGTCACCCCGTGGTGCCCTTATAAAACTCAACGTTTAACCTACTCACGCCGGCTTGTGCCCGCCCTCACAGTCGGGCATATTTGCGGAATACACCACGCCGCCGTTGACCCTGGCCATTGACCGAGCAACCCGACGTTCCTACCAGCTCCCTCCGCAGGAATGTGTTCAAAAGCGTGTAGCAATGCTGCTGCGACCATCAGCCGCATCGTACCCGTCATCAACAGGTCAAAATGCAACATCTCCTTCATGAATGGAAAATTAAAGATACAGCGACATGAGTGCAATTGTGGCCATGCCCAACCACCAACCCTCTGGATCCATAAAATTAAACCCGTAGAGACACAGAGACGCATTCCATGGAGATGGATTAAAGACAAGGCACAATGCGATTGTGGTTATGCACCCCAAACTTTGCACAATATAGCAAACCCGTAGAGACACACAGAGATACAGAGACCCACGTAGCGATATATAAAGACCCACTCAGACACACTCACAGAGTGAAAGACTCATAGAGATAAGTAGAGACTCATATACTCATTGAAATACAAAGAGACACAGAGATACAGAGAACCATAGAGATGCATTGAACACAAGCCACACTGCAATTGTGGTCACGCAACACAAACTATGGTCCATATAGTAAAACCGTAGAGACAGACGCATTGAAATACATAGAGAGATTGTGGGTGGGTGGGGGAGTGGGGTGGGGGTGGTTGTTGTGGGTGGGTGAAGGTGACCGACAAACTGCGTCGCAACAAGAACACGTGTGGTGTGTGTGTGTATGTGGTGTGTGTGTGTGGTGTTTGTGGTGTGTGTTTGTGGTGTGTGTGTGTGGTGTGTGTGGTGTTTGTGGTGTGTGTTTGTGGTGTGTGTGGTGGTGTGGTGTGTGTAGTGTGTGTGGGGTGTGTGTGGGGTGTGTGTGGTGTGTATGTGGTGTGTGTGGTGTGTGTGGTGTGTGTGTGGTGTGTGTGTGTAGTGTGTGTGGTGTGTGTGTGGTGTGTGTGGTGTGTGTGTGGTGTGTGTGTGGTGTGTGTGGTGTGTGTGTGTGTGGTGTGTGGGGTGTGGTGTGTGTGTGGTGTGCGTGTGGTGTGTGTGGTGTGTGTGTGGTGTGTGTATGTGGTGTGTGTGTGTGTGGTGTGTGTGGTGTGTGTGTGGTGTGTGTGTATTGAGTGTGGTGTGTGTGTAGGGTGTGTGTGTGTGTGGTGTGTGTGTGGTGTGTGTGTAGTGTGTGTGTGTGGTGTGTGTAGTGAGTGTGGTGTGTGTAGTGAGTGTGGTGTGTGTGTAGGGTGTGTGTGTAGTGTGTGTGTGGTGTGTGTGTGTGGTGTGTGTAGTGAGTGTGGTGTGTGTGTGTGGTGTGTGTGGTGTGTGGTGTGTGTGTGTGGTGTTTGTGGTGTGTGTGTGTGTAGTGTGTGGTGTGTGTGGGGTGTGTGGGGTGTGTGGTGTGTGTGGTGTGTGTGGTGTGTGTGTGTGGTGTGTGTGTTGTGTGTGTAGTGTGTGTGTGTGTGGTGTGTGTGTGTGGTGTGTGTGTGTGTGGTGTGGTGTGTGTGGTGTGTGTGTGGTGTGTGTGTGTGGTGTGTGTGTGTGTGGTGTGTGTGTGGTGTGTGATGTGTGTGTGTGGTGTGTGTGGTGTGCGTGGTGTGTGTGGTGTGTGATGTGTGTGTGTGGTGTGCGCGTGGTGTGTGTGGTGTGTGTGTGTGGTGTGTGTGTGTGTGGTGTGTGTGGTGTGTGTGGTGTGTGTGTGTGGTGTGTGTGGTGTGTGTGGTGTGTGTGTGTGGTGTGTGGTGTGTGGTGTGTGTGTGGTGTGTGTGTGGTGTGTGTGTGGTGTGTGTGGTGTGTGGGGTGTGTGTGGTGTGTGTGTGGTGTGTGTGGTGTGTGTGTGTGGTGTGTGGTGTGTGGGGTGTGTGTGTGGTGTGTGTGTGTGGTGTGTGTGTGGTGTGTGTATGCGCGCCGTCAGCTCTCACCATGCTGCCGCGGGTGTCGAGAGCGCAGATAAGTGCTTGAGCATCGTGAGTGTCCGTGCAACTAAATCACACAAACTTGGCCAAATCCGCCGCAAGCGACGTTGCTATCTCGTCAAGTAGTGCAACGCCTCCGTTGTCACACACACACAAAAAAAACCTGGCCTCGGTAACGGACCCGGATCGTCGAATATTATTATTATCTTGACGTGAGTGTTGAACTTCTTTCGTTCCGCTACGTAGCCCACCGCGCTTGTACTTGTCCTGGCCGCCACCAACATAAAGCCGTCCAAGTCATCCCATGTCACAGGCAAATCCGACTCCCTAACGCTCACGAAATCCACCGCGGCCCCTTCGAATGTAACGTCGTAAGATTTATTCCAGTTGCGGGCTGCCACCAAGTGAACAGAGGGGAGCAAGTTGCATCGTAGCGGAACGTCGGACGACACAACGACCCACCTAGCACCATAACAACAACAACAACAGCCCCTACCGACCGCCTTTCCACACGGCGGTGGTGTGGAGGTGGACGTGGGGCGTGGCGTCATCTTCCTCTGGGTACCACCCCGGCGCTGCTCATGGACCACGGCTTCTGTGTTGCTCATCAAACGTTGCGCACGTGCGCGCGTGTGTTTAGGGGGAGCGGTGGTGTAGTGGTTAGCGCGCTGGGCTATGGACCCAGCGACTCGGGTTCGATTCCCGCTCACGGCCAACAACACCGGTGGCGATTATTTGAACCGGTCCTGGGTCCTCCTCTAGGTCGGACTCAGCCTAAAATGAGTACCCGGTGCGGTGTGTAAACATCGTTATTGGGGAGACAAAGGTGGCCGGGCGTGGTGTTTGGCCACCCACCCACTTGTGTGCCGTGCCGGCCTTTATAGGTGCTCGCTAACAGCACTTGCCCCTACAGTCTGCTAAGGCTATTGGGAGGATCTTTGTCTTGGTGTATCTTCTCACCCCGCACCTTAGGGGCCGTCTATAAGATTTGTGTGACGAGGGGGTCAAAAATCGTCCAAAATCGCGTGACATCATTTATGGACGGCCCTTTACTGGATATCTGTGAAATAGAGCTTCATACCTCATCGGATTCCTGCGGGATATATAAAGAGTATTACTATGTAGAGAGAGAGAGTGTGTGTGTGCAGTTACCAATGGATTATCACAAAGTTTAAATCTCTGAAACCTAGTCATTTATTTATTACCAATTGCAATTCAGTTAAAACCAAGGCCTAAATCAGGGGTTGGGGAACCTGCCAAGGGCCATTTGGATATTTATAACATCATTCACGGGCCATACAAAATTTTCAACTTAAAAATTAGCATGTTATATTTGGTCAAATATTTAATTAACTCACCCCTAATGCGATGGCTGTAACTGCTTCTCTTTGGCGAGGCGTGTGATGTTAGCTGGTATTGATGATGTTTATATATTTTTCACCTACGTGACTTTACCGAAAAAACCAAAGAGTATGAATCCTTGCAGTCACGAAAACTTCAAATCTAGAATTGATGTTGCTGCTACTCGCAACTGCTTTTCCAGGTTTGCTCCGAGATTTTTTGAATTTCGAGTCCCGCCTGCGGTTGCCTTGGCAGGGCCACACCAGATGATTTTGGGGGCCTCATACGGCACGCGGGCCGGACGTTCCCCACCCCTGGCCTAAATTAACAATATTTCTCAAAGTGTGAAAACCAAGGCCTAAATTAACAATATTTCTCAAAGTGTGAAAACCAAGGCCTAAATTAACAATATTTCTCAAAGTGCGGGTACTATACTTGATGGTTCGTTTGTTACATCGCAGATCGTGAGAGAGGGCTTGATCCAGCAGTGGAATGATCGTGACTGACAATGACATTTCTGAGGTCACACAGAGGACGTGAAAGTGGCCGTTGAATTGGAATGTGAAACCGGTCAGGTTATTTAACACACTTTGCCGCTTCCAAGTTCTGTTGTAATCATCTGAATGGCTGGCCATGATTGGCGAAACAGATATTTTTTTTGTGTGCTAGAATGAATGGAAACTTTGTTGCCACCCATTACATATACAGTTTATATTTCGCGGTTAAAGTAATCAATCACGCAAGATTGTGAAATGTGTGGGTCTAGGGCGAAATAATATTGCTGCATATAATAAATATGAGCTAGCTGAAGCTTGGGAAATGCACAGCCTGCAGAAATTTGTGCCGAGTGGAAATATTTCACTTTCCACTCGCAGGACCCCAGCCCCAAACACGTGACTGCGGTAATCCGATGGGTGGCCACGACAACTCACACGCCACATGCGACTCCTGTGCAGTTCAAGGGCGGTTGAAATTAACTCAAGAAAAAGAAGAATAAATAATGAACAAACGTTAATAGAGGGAAGAAGAGATTGATATCGAATCATTTTGATGATCTAGGCCAGGGGCGGGGAACCTTGTTTCTACCAAGGGCAATTTGTATATTTATAACATCATTCGCGAGCCATACAAAATTATCAACTTAAAATGAGCCCGTTATATTTGGTCAAACATTTAATTAACTCACCTCTAATGTGATGGCTGGAACTGCTTCTCTTTGGCGAGGCGTGTGATGTTAGCTGGTATTGATGATGGTTATTTATTTTTCACCTACGTCACTTTACCGAAAAAACCAAAGAGTATGAATCCTTGCAGTCACGAACACTTCAAATCTAGAATTGATGATGTGGCTACTCGCAACTGCTTTTCCAGGTTTGCTCCTAGATTTATTGAATTTCGAGTCCCGCCTGCGGTTGCCTTGGCAGGGCCAGACCAGATGATTTCGCGGGCCTCATACGGCCCGTGGGCCGGACGTTCCCCACCCCTGATCTAGACCTTGGGTCGGCAACCAAAATAACAAGAAAGTATTTTCTTCCAATTCAATATTTGAAGAGCGGCAATGCACGTGGTTACAAGACGGTAGTCCTTAAACAATTAGCAGCCCTTCAGGAGCTGCAGGTTGCTGACCTCTGAACTAGACTATATATCCAATCATATAGGTAAAATACAGCATAATATCAAATCCGTCATCGTGTAGATTATAATATCAAACATAGTGATAACCTAGACTAATAGATAATCATTGTGAGGATATAGAGTATAATGTATCGTATCAGGTTATATTGCCTTCATGTGTACCGTATAAGGCCCGCGAAACCATTTGGTGTGGCCCTGCCAAGGCAACCACAGGCGGGACTCGAAATTCAATAAATCTAGCAGCAAATCTGGAAAAGCAGTTGCGAGTAGCAACATCATCAATACCAGCTAACATCACACACGCCTCGCCAAAGAGAACCAGTTCCAGCCATCACATTAGGGGTGAGTTAATTAAATGTTTGACAAAATATAACAGGCTCATTTTTAAGTTGATACTTTTGTATGGCCTGCGAATAATGTTATAAATATCCAAATGGCTCTTGGCAGAATAAAGGTTCCCCACCCCTGAAACACAGTGATACAAGTAATATTATTACACTTTACATTCCATTTTACTTCATGCCTCTTTTGTAGGAGGCTCCTACAACATATTTCGCCAACTTCAAATATTAGTGATTGCTTTCTTCACGGAAGAAATCAGAGTGCGCGGGGAAACCCCACCATACATAGGAGGTGTGACCCTCAACTTCCTGCATTGAGAGTTTCAAGAATTCATTGCTGTGCTTCCATCTCCTGCCGACCTCAGCCAGCGCCAACTCAGCTACGGTGGCGAGATGTTAACTACCTCGTCTGGAATACAGGAGGTCGTGGGTTCGATCACGACTCTGACGCCTGCTGCTGTATATTTGAAGTGTGCGTGTTCTCCCCCGTGATTGCGGGGATTTTTCTCCGGGTCCTCCGATTTTTTTCCTTCCACATTTAGAAACTGAGTATTTGGCTGCTACACATTCTCCACGTGATAAGCCACTTAGTTGATCTTTCATTTGTGGCCAGGTCGCTTCTGAAAAAGAGCTGTATAGCTCAGTGGGCCTTGCCTGGGGAATTTAAATAGTTTAATTTAACTCTACAGCACATACTATTCCGATTCAAGCTGTTCCCTCAAATGCTGACCAGGCTCTGCCCTGCGAATGTCCATTGAACGTCTTTTATAAGGGGAGATAAATTATTTCCCTGCCTTGAAAGTGCAGTCTCAGGGATAGAAAGAAAATAGCGGAGCCAGGAAAATCCTTATCTCCCGTCCAATCAAATCTCAGAGTGGGTTTAGGATGTGCAGCTAACATAAAGGCACTTGAACCACTACGATGTTTAGGTTATTTCGAGCAAGTACTCCAACAACAAAAGCATGAGGATGTAGAATTATATAAATTATATGTGAGGGAGGGGCATAGTAAACCATCATAGAGGGATAGCTCCATGCAAAGGTAGATAAAGGAGCGGAGATGAGAGGGTAATTGGTAAATTTGGCAAAGCAGAGACGATCAATAGAGGGGGACATCTGTTCGGGGATGTAGCCAACATCTTCTGCCTTTTATTCAACAAAATATTGAGTTACCCTGCGTTAGCAGTGATGCACAAGCACAAATAACAAAACACTCACATTCATCAATAAGGTTGCCTTAAAACTAAACTTATCATTGGCCATGTTTTGGGAAATGGTCCTTCTTCATTTGACGTATAAGATAAATCTAGAACATTGATGTGGAGGAGTCCAGATTGAGAATTTATAAATCAACGTATCTCACGGACAATGTTAGGGATGTCTCAGTCCTTGGTACGTTCAATGCAGGCAATTGTACAAGCCTGTGGGTATTGTTTATATGTTGGTTACTTACTGAATTTCTTCAGTAAGTCACCAACATATCAACCCACTTCGCCTTGACGGCGCATCTCTGCTGTAGCAATCTGTTGATATATGCCTGTGTCTACCGCACCCGATGGGTCTCTCTCTCCTGCCCCAGTTTAACTTTTCCTGAGCTCTGTCCGTCTCTCTTTCTATTCATCAATGTCTCTCTTTCTATTCATCAACCTGTCGTGGCGCGGAGGGGACACTTACCCTGTGGAAAACCAGCCAAGAATGTCAAAGGTTTACCCAACATTTTCGTACCCATTCCAGCACTAAATAAGTAATATTTTTGAAAACTTTTTTTAAAACACGCCTTAATGAAATGTACCGTACTAGTAATGGAAGAACTCCACGACTTCAGGAAGTGGCCCCGAAGCTTTCTATAACGTAAGGTACCGTGGGGATTTACAGCCAACGTCAGTTGAGCGTGGACAATTAGACCCAAGCCGAAACATAACATATAAAAAATTATGTTTAAAAATATATATTTTTTGTTTTTAATGATAGAATATAGTATTGTCATCAGTATGATATAAGGGGCCGTCCATAAATGACGTCACGCACCTAGGGGGGGGGGGTCAGACATTTGTGACGATGTGTGACGAGGGGGGGGGGTGAGAAATGTGACGTCACATAAAAATGCGCAACTTTAAATAAATATAAACATCACGTTCTACTTAATTAAACAATATTCAATACATGTTTTCTCCTACAACATCAGAGTGCAGCGCCACATTAAATACGCACTACAATGACAAT